CTGTCCCGGCGCAGGGCGCACGCGGCCCCGCCAGCTGCAGCCGACGGTTGGGAGACTGTAATTTATCTCTGACATTCAGGACGCCGTGTTTCAAGGTTACTTTTCAGTCACAACGGAGGTGCCCACAGAATTTCGTAACTAAAACAAACAGGGCAGGAGGTGGGGTGGGAGTGAAGCGGGAGGAGAGAAAGGAAGGAATCAATACGCAGCGCATGGAATCCCTTCAGGAGGGTCTCTGTCCTCTCTGATTTCCTGAGGGGTCTGTTTTGTAAGAATTGGAAACCCCAGCAACCATATACTCCTTTTTAATGTTCGCTCCGGCGTCTAGGTTCCAATGATCACCTGCCCTGGACCAGCCCCTAGACCCCAGTGAGCCCAGATTACAGGTGTTTCGATGTGGGCGCCCTTTCTTGGTTCTAAAAACCCATGTTGGGCCTGAAGATCCCAGCCCCGAGACCTCCACCTCAAAGATAGAGGAAAAACTAGAAATTATGGGCACCTGGCTCACTTCTCCAAAGCTGTGGGTAACGGTGGCAGAAGACAAGAGAGGTGGCAGGCAGGGGGCTGGACACAGGGAAGGGAAGGACCCTGCGGTTCAGACTAGAAGGCAAGTGGGTGCAGGGCACTTCCAGCCCTTCCCTCCACCCCAGGTCTCTAGGCCCGCCCAGCATCGCTTTGAACCAAAGATGAAGCCAGGGGCAGCCTCCTTAGAGCTGAAACGCCAGGATGGGTCGACTAATTGATGCTGAGGGCCTTAATGAGCTCGCTGAGCGAGTTCCAAGGCAGGATCCCTGAAGCCATGGGTAGCACTGAGGGCTCCCAGCAAGGGCAGTGTCTCCTGCGAGTATATGCACAGGTAGTGCAGGTGTGCAAAGAGGAGGCCCAGGGACCAGATCACCAGCATCTATCACGGAGTACCGAGGACTTGGGAAAGAAGGGTACGCACTGGCGCAGTTGCCTGTTCTTTAAAACTTTATGCGCAGGCCTAAGGCAGAAAGGTGCGCAGCGCGCTCACACACACACCACCTTAAGTCCCCTTCCTTCTTCCTACTGGTGCTTCTCACAGTCCGTAGAAAAAAAAAGAAAAAATAAATAAAGGACGCCAAATAGACAAACCCCACGAAACAAGCAGACAGCTTTCTAGTGTGTATGAAGTTGAAAACTAAAAAGAATACTCTGGTGTGCACATGTATATGACTGTCCACTCCTTCTCTCTTTTAGCTCCTGGTCTAAATATAGTTCTAGAAATTATTCCTGGAATAAAAGGGGCGACCGGGGCGGGGAGAGGAGGTCCACGGGAGGAAAGGAAGCTACCTTTTTAAAAGAGCGAAGCTTACAAGTTCCCCCATCCTCCGTTGCGGGCATCGGTGGGCACCGGGAAGCGCTCCGCACCGACGTCCGCAGTGACAGCGCGCCCCCTGTCGGCCGCACGGCCCTTGACACCGACTAGAGCCCTCATTTACCCACGCGCTCCTCACCCCTAAACCCGAGCGCCAGCCTCTCACCATCTCCCGAAACACGCCTCCGGTGGGTTGGCATTTCTCTGGAGTCCCCTAACTTCCGCGCAAACTGAAACCGGCCTCCTCCCGCCTCTGAATGCTCCTTGAGTCCGGGACCCTCTCCGGGCTTGGCCTCAGGGGTGAGGTGGGGGTAGGGAGAGGAGAACAGCTCGGAACCCAGAACCTTTGCAGGAATCCGGACTTGCACCAGCTTAGGGTTCGCTTTCCTTTCCCAGCGCCCAGGTCTTTGGAGGCGCCACCTCCCTACACACTCCGGGTCCTTCCCGTCAGGGCAGTTTCGGTTGGTTTGTGAAGGTTTATTCAGAGCGTCTGGCACGGCGGCCTGGGCTGGAATGCTGTAAATTGCTCCAGGAGCTTCTCTCCAGGAAAACGTTCGCGGGGAACTGGGGCCGAAAACAGATATTTCCCCTGATCCCCTTTAGCTGAAACCCACCTAGGACTGAGACCCACAAAGCTTTCGTTGGCCCGTGTTCCCCTTCTTTTCCTTTCGTTCGGCGCTGCCTGCCGAGGTTCCAAATAAAGCTGCCTTATAACCGATGACTATGCTTGGGGTTAACACGCTGTTTTTATTCTGGACGCTGTACCAGCGGATTTGACTTGGGCGCAAATCTGGGCCATCCTGAGAAGAGGATGCTATGGTCCTGCATCCCCTACCAAAACTCCTTCCTCTCAGAGCCCTCTGTCATATGAAACTAGTCCGGGGAAGGGGACATCAATAAACAGAACTTCCCTAGGCGATAACCAGTCAAATAACAGATGTGCGGAAAGCTGCATTCCATTGATCAATACTTCAACCCCTGAAGCCTTCCAGAGAATCCATACCCCGACAGGCCTTGCTTTAGGGCATGATCAGGCAGGTCTGCAGGTGAGGTTAACACAGAGGAGACGGAAAGGTGACTAGGCAAAGTCTTGTGAAAATATACATTTCACTTTCAAATAAGCTTTTCTCTGGGCAAAAATCAGAAGTGGCCCACACCTCCATCCCAGGTCTGACACACACACACACACACACACACACAGAGAGAGAGAGAGAGAGAGAGAGAGAGAGAGAGAATTCTGTCAAAGGTTATAATCAACCTTTCACGTTCTGTGGATGAATTGTTATTTCTGAAATTCCACTTTAAAAAATCAGACAATTACAAGTAGTCTACTTGAGCACACCTTCAGATACTCTTTTCCTGGCTTTCATAGTTCTTGGCTGGCCAAATACTAGTTGTTTATGAAGAGGACAACTGAAAAGGTGAGCTAAGAGCTGTCTATCAAAGGGGGTTTATGGAAAGACTGCAGGAAAGATTCAACAGGTCTCAATCTTCTGCAAAAACACAGGAAAGTGCTGATAAAAGTGCTTGGGGGGAAACAAGATACAATATTGTAAGTTTTTTATGGAAAGACTGCAGGAAAGATTCAACAGGTCTCAGTCTTCTGCAAAAACACAGGAAAGAGCTGATAAAAGTGTGTGGGGGGGAAACAAGATACAATATTGTAAGTTTTTAAAAAAATATGTTTTTTATTGATTTTAGAGAAAGGAAGGGAGAGGGATGCCCCCTACTTTGAGGGATGGGGTCCCAAAACCCGGGCATGTGCCCTGACAGGGAATGGAGCCTGGACCTCTTGGTGCCTGGAACAAAGCTCAACCAACTGAGCCACACGGGCCAGGACCAACATTGTAAGTTTAGTGCGCAATGCACCTGCATACATTCTAGCTCTTCTGGGCAAGATTCACAGGGAAAGATGGGAAATAAGTAATAATAAAATTTGATCATCAATACAAATGTAAAATCAATACAATGCTAATTGCCCTAATTGTTTTTGGCTGGTAGAATTACATCTTCAATCTACTTTTTTTTCGTGCAGTAGAGTGGTAATGTATAGTGATATATAATAAAATAACATATTTTATTATTACATGTTTAATATTTTATGGTGAAATATGTAATTAGAATATTAGATCTTGATGTCATAGAAACTTTAGCAAAAATAAATTGTACAGATTTTTGTGCAGTTCTTACACTTGAAAGAAGATCAGTGAAGCTACCATTCAACAGACCAAGGGTTTGACTTCTGAAAAACAAATCAGTATTTTTTCCTTACTTATGTCAGAAAGTGAACTCTACTCTTTCTTGAGTTGAGGGAAGAAAGAAAGTTATATATTCATGCCAACAACAGATGATGATTTCTTAACATGGTACAGAAAAGAAGGGAGACCCTGTCCTCAGGATACTGTTAGGAGGAATTTGGCACATGGATTATTCTCTGTGGATGTAGAATTGGATAGCTGTTTGGAAGGTTGGTGCAGTTATGGATTGTTCATCTTATATGGGTTTTC